CAGTAGTAAGTGCAATGAAGTGTGTAATGCGGTACTACATGAACTGCACTCTCGAGCCCTGTACAAAGGGGAATGTTTCTGCGGAAGATGCAACATGTGAGAATAGTGGAATTTGTTGTGCCAAGCAGCAATTGCCCTTGTCCGGAAAACGAGGAGTATATATATAGTACTGATTGCTTAGAGAACTGCGATATAATTTGGAGTGAGTGTCTGAATGTTGCCAGTACTTTCAAATGTCATTGCAAGAGAAACCACTATAGAGTCAACGGTAAATGTGTTCCACAAAGAGAGTGCCCCTGTCCGAATAACGAAGTCTACGGTTTCATGAATGATTGCTATGAGACATGTGGAACTACCATACAAGAGTGTGCCATTATAAATAATAACAACAAATGCTATTGTGATTTTGGGTACAAAAGAATAGCAGGAACATGCGTCACTGAGGATATGTGTCCATGCGCCGAAAACGAAAAATATACTTTCGGAGACCGATGTCACGAATCCTGCAGACAAAGTTACCACGACTGCCCAAAAGATGAATCTTACAGGGACTGCTTTTGCAAGGAAGGCTTTGTCCGAGTGAATGGGATGTGTCAACCATTTGACAAATGCCCGTGCAACGACAATGAAGTTTTCACTTACGGAAACTCATGCGAAGAGGAATGTAAGTACGGCGATCAAGATTGCGCTGAAGAGTCCAGCTCCAAAGGATGCTTTTGTGATGATGGATATGTTAGAATAAATGGATTATGTGTGCTTGGCAGCAATTGTGGATGTGGCGAAAACGAGGAATATGCCAATAGCAACGAATGCTCCGAAGACTGCAGTAAAACGTGGAATGATGCCAGAGGAGCCGAGCGCCTTAGATGTGTCCTTCTGCGCCACTACAGAGAGGTGATGGGTAAATGCGTCAAGGATGTCCAATTGTCCGTGTCCCGGAAATGAGGTTTTCAGCCATTCCCCTGAATGCGATGAACCTGTGGAACTACTCTGAGAATGTGGGATTTATAACGATCTAAACAAATTGCTTCTGCAAGCCCGGTTACAAGAGAATAAGCGGTGTGCGTTGAAGATTCACTTTGTCCATGCGCCGCCGATAATGAAGAAAACACTTTCGAGATCGTGCCAAAGTCCTTCAGAAAAACTACGACCACGACGGTCCGGCAGGGTAGAAACATTACAGGGGATGCTTCTGCAAGTAAGGCTTTGTTCGGTGATGGGATATGCCAGACCTTTGATAAATGTCCGTGCCAGGGAAACGAAATATTTAGATACAGTAGTAAGTGCAATGAAGTGTGTAATGACGGTACTCATGACTGCACTCTCGAGACCTGTACAAAGGGATGTTTCTGCGAAGATGCACATGTGAGAATAAATGGAATTTGTGTACCAAGCAGCAATTGCCCTTGTCCGGAAAACGAGGAGTATATATATAGTACTGATTGCTTAGAGAACTGCGATATAATTTGGAGTGAGTGTCTGAATGTTGCCAGTACTTTCAAATGTCATTGCAAGAGAAACCACTATAGAGTCAACGGTAAATGTGTTCCACAAAGAGAGTGCCCCTGTCCGAATAACGAAGTCTACGGTTTCATGAATGATTGTTATGAGACATGTGGAACTACCATACAAGAGTGTGCCATTATAAATAATAACAATAAATGCTATTGTGATTTTGGGTACAAAAGAATAGCAGGAACATGCGTCACTGAGGACATGTGTTCTTGTGTAGATACAGAATCTGAATACAAATCCGGCAAGGCATGCGATGACGAGTGCATTCCACCAGAGGACTGTCCAACCCATGAGTGCTTCAAAGCTTGCTACTGCAAGGAAGGATTCAAGAAGATTGGTGGAGTCTGTAAGCCGGAGTCGGAGTGTTTGTGTCCCAATGATCCTAATGAAGAGTATATTTATTCAAATACGTGTCTGGAGAAGTGCGATGCAACGCCGGAAATGTGCAGAGGAAGAGCCATAGTCGCGGGATGTTATTGCAAAGAGGGATTCAAGAGAAGTGATAGTGGGGCATGTATTTCTGAATTCGAGTGCCCATGCATTGAGTTGAATACGGAATATAAGTCTGGGAAAAGTTGTGAGGAAGAATGTATGCCATCCGTTGATTGTTTAATGGAAAATTTTGTTAAAGGATGTTTCTGTAGAGAAGGGTATAAAAGAATCGGTAACAGTTGTGAATTGGAAAGTAAGTGCAGTTGCTCGAATGACCCTAACGAAGAATATACATATTCTAATCGATGTTTCGAAGACTGTTATGCAACACCGGAGTCGTGCAGAGGCCGTCCGATCACGATTGACTGCTTTTGTAAAACTGGTTACAGGAGGGACGATTCAGGTGTTTGCATTCCTGAGTCTGACTGTGAATGCACGAACCCTAATACTGAATATAAGTCAGGAAAACCATGTGACGATGAGTGTTTTCCTGAAGAAAATTGCCGATTCCAGGATTGTTATAAAGATTGCTATTGCAAGGATGGATTCAAAAATATTAGGGGTATTTGTGAACCTGTACAGCAGTGTGGTTGCGCATCAGATCCCAATGAAGAGTTCGTTTCTTCGAATAGTTGCTTAGAGAAATGTGATGGAACCCCTGATACATGTAGAAATGAACCTATTGTATTAGGATGCTATTGTAAAGAAGGATATACTAGGTTCGATAATGGACCCTGCGTTCCTGATTCATCCTGTCCATGCAATGACCCGAATGAAATTTTCAAATCTCGTCAAAGATGCTATGATGAATGCACATTGTCAGGTCTATGTAATCCTGAGCAATGCTACAAAGGGTGCTATTGTAAACCAGGATATGAGAGATTAAATGGCGCGTGTGTTCTTATTAGTAATCCAACATGCTCTGTAAATGAGGAATTTAAATGTGGAAGATCATGCCTTGAGGATTGCAATTTAAGGGATTTCAAAGAATGTATGGCTACACCATGTAGCGATGGATGTTATTGCAAACACGAACACTTTAGAATCGCAGGAGTCTGTGTAGATGTCAATATTGCTAGAATGCGCTGCAATTGTGCGCCAGGACAATTTTTCGTCTGTAAAAGTGATTGCCTGGAATCATGTTATGATTTTCCAGCCGATTGCGATAGAAATGATTGTCGATATGGATGCCATTGTCCAAATGATGTCCTTAAGCGTCAAGACGGCCTTTGTATTCCGGTAAATAAATGCAATTGTGGACTAAATGAGCAACCACGACTGGGAAAACTTTGTGAAGAAGCTTGTGGTGTCAACACTCGAGTATGTGATTTATCCAATGCAGTAACAGGCAGAAAGTGTTTCTGTCAGTCTGGATTTTGTAGGAATACAAACAACTTGTGTCTATAATAATATACACATCTAGTATGTTTGTTATATCATGTTAAGAAACATAAATCAAATAGAACGACTATTCGAACTATTTTATATATCATGACTTTTATATTTTGACAATAAAAATAAATTAAGAATAATGATCAACAAACTAACTATATTATTTGCTCCATCACTGTAGATGACCATAGAATTTTGTTTTAGTTATATACATTTTTCTTATATTGGGAGTGAATTTCTAGCACAGACTGTCCCTAAATTTGTGTTAGAAATAGGAGGATTCCTGAAGATAAGAATTTGGTTGGTACGGCAATGTAACAAATGTAAATATTGTCTGCCAAACTATTTTTTTTGTAATATGCATGGAATTAATTAGAACGAGAAGTCCATCCCTGTGCAGATGATTACAATAAGAATGAGATGAGTTATGTGCTGCAAATTTAAAAAAAAAAGCAAAGCGAACAGGTTGGAAATACCATTGCAATGATAAATGCTCTATAGAGGAGACATTTAAAGCTGTTTGGTCAAAAAAAAATGTTGAAGTTGTGTATTTCATATATTAAATAAATGGAACTATTTCTAATCCACTTAAGACACATGTTTTTTTCTGTATTTTATTTTTGTAATCTCTTGTCTACTATTTTTGTCTGAAATATTTTTTTCTGATTTATATTCTCTCAGTATGAATCACATATATCTCTCTGGGTCAAACACCTTGTGATGTGAGTAAACCTGCTTTTCAATATGTGCTTTTTTATTACAGGATCAAATTGGTCAATTAGATTAACAGCAGGCCTGTAGTCCATATATACTTATACATTAAGGAGTGGTAGAAAATGGACGCACCGCTTATATTTAAAGATTTCATGGGGACATCTTCAGTTAGATTTCAGCCTTCTGCTGATCCAAGTCATGGCTCGCTGGGAAGTGTTCCTAATATTGTACAGTGGGTTTTCTGTTAACGCTTTCACCGTCAACACCACCGAAACAGCGATTTTAAGTGCAAGTAAATTCATTAATCCAGTAGAATTTCCTTGGGGAAAGAAACATATGCAAACCTATTCTTAGGACTGGAAAGCAAGTCGGATTTTTCTCGAAATACTTCTCGTGATGCCAGAGTAAAATGCGGATCTCACGAGGATTTTCTCGTCTGCGGACCACCATGTGAAAACGATTGTACGACCATTAGAAGAAGTTGTAAAATCAAGGACTGTCGGTCGGGTTGTTTTTGTCGTCCGGGTTACGTGAGAGAAAATCCTGGAGGAAAGTGCATATCACAGAAGAAATGCGCAAGTGAGTATTTTATAAATTGCTTGAATAAGTTTTCAGTGCTTCAATTTTCATTAGAATGTCATGTATATGCAAAATCAGTATACGCTGAATGAAAGAGAAATCAAGAATCCATAAAATATATATTGTCATTAAAAAAACATAAAGCAAGATACAAAATCGATTGAGTTATGGTATGTAAAATGTCTTATGTACAAGACTATCATGAAATTCCACTTAGCCGAATAACCATTTTTATGTGATAACAACTAATAAATATTTACTGACATGGTTCAAATACTATAAACGAACTACATAAATTCACAGGTTTAAAATATATTTTCTATTCTGTTCACATTCAGTGAAATTGAGGTTTCAAATGTATTCTAAAAATGTCTTTTGAACTCAAAGATAAAATTTCAGAGCCTTCTTGTCCAAAACACGAGGAATATCTTGTCTGCGGCGAAGCGCCGCCTTGTCAGACAACCTGCGAGAATTATGGAAGACCATGTGATGTCCGGCCAACTTCCTACTGTCCTTATGGTTGCTATTGCAAAAGTGGATACGCGCGCCATCCAATCACCAACCAGTGCGTGCATTTGAAGAATTGCCCAATGATCTATCATGAATACATTACCCAAAATTCACCAAGCACAACGACTGAATTAGCAACAGAAACAACTACTACTTCCACAACAACTTCCACCACCACTCAAAAACCGCCTAATGAGTGTGGTAAAAACGAAGAATATTCTGACTGTGGCCCTGCGTGCCAAGTGGAATGCTCTAATCTAGGCAGAGACTGTCCAAAAGGCAATGTCAAATGCACTAAAGGTTGTTTTTGCAAACCAGGATATGCCCGAGATCATACTTCAAGACTCTGCATTGCACAGCGCAATTGCCGAAGTAAATATGAATACGCAGTTCTAATAGAAATTCTTTCATGTCATAGAGATTGAATCCCCTTTCAGATCCTTTTTGTCCCCGAAATGAAATTTGGCTGATCTGCGGACAAGCTCCAGAGTGTCAAGAGATGTGCGACGGAATTGATCGCGAGTGTGAAGCGCGCAAATATGGTGTCAAATGCCCGTCAGGGTGCTACTGTCGCAAAGGCTACGCTCGGCATCCCACAACAGGTGAATGTGTTAAGAAGCGCGATTGTCCACGCGAATTGCAATGTGTGGAAAACGAAGAGTTTAGAAACTGTGGGTATCGGTGCAGAGAAATTTGTAACAGTGAAAATAGTTGCTACCATGAAAAGTGTGAAGCAGGATGCTTCTGTTCAGAAGGATATGTTAGGATTAATGGTCAGTGTGTTTCGAATGAAAACTGCATTGGAAATTGTTCAGTCAATGAAGAATATTTGACTTGTGGTAAACGTTGTAGTGAGGAATGTGGTACATCGGCGGAAAATTGCAGGAGAGAAGTTTGTTTTGAGGGATGTTTCTGTATTGGTGGCTACAAAAGAGTAGGAGGGGTTTGTGTTTCAACATCTAATTGTCCACCGCCTCAGTGTGGAAAGGCAAACGAAGTTTACACAACGTGTGGAAATTCTTGCAAAGAAGACTGCAAAAAATCTAAAAGTGACTGTCAGCACGAAAGTTGTGTGGAAGGTTGCTTTTGTGCAAACGGATTTAAACGTTTCCGTAAACGATGCATTCCAGAACAAGATTGTGAATGTCCCGCTAATGAAGTCTTCAAATGTGGGACCAATTGCGATGAAGATTGCAAAGCTAATCCTTTCGAGTGCATAAAAATGAAGTGTGAGAACAGATGCCATTGCATTGGCAATTACAAGAGAATCAATGGAGTGTGTCAACCTCCATCTAAATGCAAGTGTCCGAAAAATGAGGAGTACAAGTACGCCAACAAATGCAATGAAGAATGTGGGAAATCTCAAAGTGATTGTTCCAATCAGAAGCAGTATTTTGACTGTTTCTGCAAGGAAAGCTTCAAAAGAATTGGCGGAGTTTGTGTTCCTGACACCAAATGCGAATGCCCCGAAAACGAAGAATACGTTTATGGAAATAAATGCGATGAAGATTGCAGCGCCAAACCGGGCGACTGCAAGGACGCAGAATGTTACAAGGGATGCTTTTGCAAGGACGGGTTCAGAAGAATCAACGGATTGTGCATTCCTGACACAAACTGTCATTGCGGTAAAAACGAAGAATATAGCAATGGAAATCCATGTTTCGAAGATTGTACTAAAACTCTGTTGGAATGTGTTGCGGAGGATGTTTACAAGAGATGTAACTGTTTACTGGGATTCAAGAGAGTCAATGGCAGATGTGTCCCAGACACGGCATGCAAGTGCAAGGCTCACGAGTCATACAGATATTCAAGTGCTTGTGAAGAGCAATGCAATAATGGTTCATTAGATTGCTCTCAGGATTTGTGCTACAAGGGTTGCTTCTGCGACGAAGGGTATGTTAGAATCAAAGGAAAATGTGTGATGGGAATTCATTGCGATTGTGGAATCAATGAATCTTATGTACGCAGTAATGAATGTTTCGAAAACTGTGGAAAATCATGGGATCAATGCGTTAATGATCCAACCACATACAGATGTACATGCATCGAAAACTACAAAAGGATTGATGGAAAATGCATTCCAGAGTCAAATTGTCCATGTCCTAAAAATGAGGAATTCCGATACTCCAATGACTGTTTGATGAGCTGTCAAGGAAATTTACAAAAGTGTACAGATTTCGGATACGACAAAAAATGCTTCTGTAAAGAAGGTTTCAAAAGGATTTTAGGAAAATGTGTCAATGATACACTTTGTCCATGCAGTAGAAACGAGGAGTATACTTTCGGAGATCGGTGCCATGAATCCTGCAGCGAAAACTACGATAACTGTCCGCAGAGAGAAACCTACAGGGGATGCTTTTGCAAGGAAGGTTTTGTCCGAGTGAATGGGATGTGTCAGCCATTTGACAAATGCCCGTGCAACGACAATGAAGTTTTTACTTACGGAAACTCATGCGAAGAGGAATGTAAGTACGGCGATCAAGATTGCGCTGAAGAGTCCAGCTCCAAAGGATGCTTTTGTGATGATGGATATGTTAGAATAAATGGATTATGTGTGCTTGGCAGCAATTGTGGATGTGGCGAAAACGAGGAATATGCCAATAGCAACGAATGCTCCGAAGACTGCAGTAAAACGTGGAATGATTGCCGAGAGGAGCCGAGCGCCTTTAGATGTGTCTGCCTGCGCCACTACAAGAGGATTGATGGAAAATGCGTCAAGGATGTCAATTGTCCGTGTCCGGAAAATGAGTTTTCAGGCCATTCCACTGAATGCGATGAAACCTGTGGAACTACTCCTGATGAATGTGGATTGATAACGATCATCAACAAATGCTTCTGCAAGCCCGGTTACAAGAGAATAAGCGGAGTGTGCGTTGAAGATTCACTTTGTCCATGCGCCGATAATGAAGAATACACTTTCGGAGATCGGTGCCAAGAGTCCTGCAGAGAAAACTACGACGACTGTCCGCAGGGAGAAACATACAGGGGATGCTTCTGCAAGGAAGGATTTGTCCGAGTGAATGGGATATGCCAGACCTTTGATAAATGTCCGTGCCAGGGAAACGAAATATTTAGATACAGTAGTAAGTGCAATGAAGTGTGTAATGACGGTACTCATGACTGCACTCTCGAGACCTGTACAAAGGGATGTTTCTGCGAAGATGCACATGTGAGAATAAATGGAATTTGTGTGCCAAGCAGCAATTGCCCTTGTCCGGAAAACGAGGAGTATATATATAGTACTGATTGCTTAGAGAACTGCGATATAATTTGGAGTGAGTGTCTGAATGTTGCCAGTACTTTCAAATGTCATTGCAAGAGAAACCACTATAGAGTCAACGGTAAATGTGTTCCACAAAGAGAGTGCCCCTGTCCGAATAACGAAGTCTACGGTTTCATGAATGATTGCTATGAGACATGTGGAACTACCATACAAGAGTGTGCCATTATAAATAATAACAATAAATGCTATTGTGATTTTGGGTACAAAAGAATAGCAGGACAATGCGTTCCTGAGGATATGTGTTTTTGTGAAGACACAGAAGCTGAATATAAGTCTGGCAAGGCGTGCGATGACGAGTGCATTCCACCAGACGACTGTCCAACCCATGAGTGCTTCAAAGCTTGCTACTGCAAGGAAGGATTCAAGAAGATTGGTGGAGTCTGTAAGCCGGAGTCGGAGTGTTTGTGTCCCAATGATCCTAATGAAGAGTACATTTATTCAAATACGTGTCTGGAGAAGTGCGATGCAACGCCGGAAATGTGCAGAGGAAGAGCCATTGTCGCGGGATGTTATTGCAAAGAGGGATTCAGGAGAAGTGATGCAGGACGATGCGTTCTTGACTCTGATTGCCCTTGTCCAGATGGAGAATTCGAATATAAGTCTGGCAAGGCGTGCGATGACGAGTGCATTCCACCAGACGACTGTCCAACCCATGAGTGCTTCAAAGCTTGCTACTGCAAGGAAGGATTCAAGAAGATTGGTGGAGTCTGTAAGCCGGAGTCGGAGTGTTTGTGTCCCAATGATCCTAATGAAGAGTACATTTATTCAAATACGTGTCTGGAGAAGTGCGATGCAACGCCGGAAATGTGCAGAGGAAGAGCCATTGTCGCGGGATGTTATTGCAAAGAGGGATTCAGGAGAAGTGATGCAGGACGATGCGTTCTTGACTCTGATTGCCCTTGTCCAGATGGAGAATTTGAGTATAAATTCGGCAAG